AAAATTTGTCTTAGTGCCTTCTTCTCTAGTGTAATTCAATATTCACTCGAAATTAGTTGTGTCTGAAAGCTTTTTTTTTTCAGTTTGTATCTGAAAGCAACTTTTTTGCATGATCTACAAATCTTCGTGAGCTTACTCCAAAATTAATTGCTTTCTTCTTCCCTTCAGAAGTTTTCCACATTTTTTGTATGGAGATTCAGATTTCAGTGGTGAAATATTATGGAGTGCCATGAAATACTCACGAATATTCTAAAATTTCCAGAAGGTAGCAATTCTAGCTATCTTTATAAGCACGCTTTTCAGGTAAAAACGAGAACCTTCCTCATTGTTGATGAATAGAAAACTATCATAACATAAACGTTCCTCGCTAGTTCCGCAGTAGTCTGTATCTTTCGAGATGTTCTCAAACCTTATAGAACATTCTCGAACAGTTCACCACATTCCAGAATATGCCGGTATATTTTGGAATGTCAATGAATGTTTTGGAACGGTCTCAAACAAACTGTAACCACTGTAAATCACTGTGGAGCTGTTTATCGAGCAAAATTACCAGATATTCACCTCCAAAAGCACACCTTTCATCTGAAAATAGGAAACTCTTCTACCTTCATCGTTCTACAATGATCTGAGATGTTCCGAGATTTTTTCGTATATTCCAGACTATTTCCATATATTTCACAACATTCCAGATCATTTCGAGATGTTTTGGAAGGCTTTCTAATACTCCCGAAAGTTTTGAAGACTGATCAAAAACTTTGTAGTGGGGAAACCTAGAGCCCTTATATAATTAAAAGCTCTATATGTTCGGCTACGCATGCGAAGCCGTGTTGGGTCGCTAGTTGACCAAAATTTCAAAAACACAAATGAAGATAACTTTGACAAATGTTTGCAGTTTGGTCAATGAATAGATAATGAATTCGTCGGATATGTGTTTGTCTTTTCAGAACTTTACTGCTGATCATCATAATCGGGGATATCGGCATCGGTTTGACAGAAACCACCACATAGTTCATGAATTTCATGCATACCATCTTGTGTAGCTAAACATGAGGACTGTAATTCATGGGTACTGTTTGTTGTATTGGTGAAACATAAATGATGCTTCCATATAATTGAAGTGAACCACTTAGTATGGTGTTCATTTGTCGAGCAGAAGAATTCCTAATGGCAGATATCTCATTCCTACCTGTTTGTGGTTTGGTTTTGGAAGCAAAAGACAGAATGTTGTTTGATTTGTAATAAAACACTAGCAATTCATTGAAAAAAGTGACAGTTGAAATAAGTTGACATTGCAGCAAGATGAGCTCATAATTGGAAACACAGAGAAGAGAGCAAATGCATTAGAACCCACGGTCACTCGATTCAGCCCTTTTCTTTGCGTGATCAGATCAAGAGGACCAATGATTAAACTCAAACCACCATCATCTTCTAATGATTTCCATTAAAAAAAATGCTGAAGGTTGGAACATCACACCTGAAACCAAACCTCAATCACCTCATTGTCTTATTGAAGTAAAATATTATGTTTCATCACTTTCTCTTTGTATGATCAAAACCTTTGGGTCGTGCTTTGAAATAATGCTTTTTTCTCGACGAAAATAGAACTGTTGAAAATGACTAACCCCCCCCGGTCGGATGCAAGAATCCAATATTTTCCTCATCAACTCCCGCCGAACTCTTTCAAAAACACCAGGATCGTTTCTGATGGCGTTACACCTAGCAATTATCGGATTTCTCAAATCTTCCACTGGAGCAGTATAAACAAATGACTTTAGGTGGCCACATAGGAAATAATCCAGGAGATTCAAGTCCGGTGATCGAGCAGGCCATAAGTGTGGTCCACCTTGACCAATCCAGCGATCTCCGTGTGTTACTGTTAAAAAGTCTCGAACCAATATAATAGATGTGCTGGTGCACCATCGTGCATAAACCACATTGCATTTCTTGTAACCAATGGTACATCCTCCAGAAACTGATGTAGCGTTTGTTCCAAAAAGTTGCGATATTCCTCACCGGCGAGTCTTCCTGGCAGAAATATCGGTTCAATTAGAAAGTCTCCTACAAAATCCACCCAAACGTTTAACGAGAACTGATGTTGAAAGCGATCTTCAAGCACCTCATGTGGATTTTCTTCAGCACAAACATGGGCATTTACTTATGGCATTTCTTCAGAAACTGGCTTCATTGGTAAAAGGAATGAGCGTCAGTGGTTGAGGGATTTTAAACAATGTGTGCAAAAGCCATTAATAGACTGCAGTACGTAAAAGAAAATCTGCAGGAAGAAGTGCCTGAACTCGTTGTATATGGTATGGGTACAACAAATAGCCTCTAAGAATGTTCCAAATCGTCCCGTTACTTACATTTGAAGTATTTGCAATTTTTTGAGTAGAGGTATCTGGATCCTCTTTTATCAAGGCCAGCACATTCTCTTCTACTTCTACCGTTCTTACTGTCATTGGTCTTTCTGTTCCTCCATTTCGGTTCAATGACCCTGTTTCACGAAGTCGTTGATGTATACTTTGGAAGGTTTTTCAATTAGGCACATTACGATTAGGAAATCGTTCACTGTATAACCGCCTAGCTTCCAATGAATTACCATCAGCAAGTCCATAAATGACATGCATGAGAGCCATCTGTGCGTTACTATAGCCATTTGTGATAGAGGACTTCACTAACAAGACTTTAAATATTAAACATAGAAAACACAGTCAATCAGTTTCAACCTATTCGACACATACAAATAATCATTTACAAGAGTTACTATTTAAATTGAATGTTTGCAGCAGTTTGTAGAAATCGGAATGTTGTTGATAGGTATCAACGGAATTGTTAGAGTTTTTATTACTTGGTAGGTCTAGTGTAGAATGCTATACTTTTAGTTCGGCTACGTTGATAATTTTAAAATTACCAAAATTGTAATTTTCGAAATTCTTTTTCGCCACATATCTTCGAAACAAAGCGCTGCATGAAAAAGCATCAAAGGACAAACTAACCTTAGAATAGTCCAAGGAATAGTCCCTTAATTTTATGCCACATGTTTAATAAACACCTTGTACATCATAAATTTTCAACAAGTTGTTCAAAACATGATAAAAAAATGAAACGAATAATTCCAGGCTAGAATAGTAACGATTTGCTGATTTTAAAATCCCAAAAATTGGTTCATTTTGACACTAATCGTTCAAAAAAAAAAAAAGAATTTTGAAAATGACACTATTTTTGTTCCTTCCAGAATTCACAGAGCACAAAGTTTTACTTTTTTCAGAATATAAAGCCATTGACAATTCTATGCATGAATATAATAATAACAATAATAACGACATTTGTTAACCATATATGAGGTAGTAATAACATGAATATGAATTAAACAATGATATGGTTAAAACGAGCCCGGTCAGTTGAAACAGGTCGTCCTGTTAACCTGTATTAAAATAATGACAGAAAAATAATAAAAAACAATGGTTTGCTAGCTCTCCAATAACTGAAACCATCATAAATAGGAACATATTTATCTATTCACATGAAATATTTTGAATATAAAAAATATAAACATAATTTTTTATAGATAACTTCGACATTCTTAGAAAATATATTTGGTGTGATTACATAAGCAATGTACATACGTGGTAGGAGATCATCATGATAAATGAGAAATAAAACTTTCGGATGTTTATTGTATCCGTTTGAAGATGTCCTTATAGGACGAAACTGCAGTAACGTTAGTTACAAATAAAAGTGGTAAAAAACATAGAAAGTTTCATTTCTCATTATTCAAAATGAGTTTTATGTTGCCAAAGTGACATTGGTAAGCATCAAGATTCCTAAGTAAACCACATATATGAATGAACATAGGGCATACATGAAGAAGAGACAGATAACAAGACCAGGGATATTAAAACACATTTTAATATCGCTTTCCACTGGTAAAACTGTTGCCAAGCCAAGCATACTTTATGATACAATGATAAAACGTGCATCAGACAATTTATATCTTTGAATCAATAAAATTTTTGATTCATCAAACCAGATCGTAAGAGACAAGCCTATAGAACAAGAAATAAAAACAATTTTTCATCCATAAAATATACATTTATGAGTGTTTTACCATTTAATGTTCTATGAAATTTTTCAATAGTCTTCGGAAGGATATAAGAAATAATGAAGCTACTAGCACATTCCTCAAATCAGTTAAAAAATGTTTAAGTAATCTAGAGCCTTACATTATTGAGGAATTTATTCATCCCAAAAGTTGACAAAAATTATATTTTAATTTTTTTTGTGCCATATATTGTTATTAGCACAGTACTTCATCAAAACATATCTTAAAGTTTTCTCGATTATTTTATGCCTTTGATATGTCGTGACAATTTTCCTTTATTATTCGGAAGGATATAAGAAATAATGAAGCTACTAGCAATTTTTTTAATAAATCCATGTAAATCACCAATCAGATCTTCCTCTAGATATAGGACCAAGAATATAATTTTCCAATATATTTTTTAATATATCGCACATTTTGGCGGGTGACGTTTCCGTTTGAGAAAGAAGTACATAAATACTTTGGGTGCAGTTTCGATTTGCAATCAAACGTTTGGACAGTAACTCAAAGCAATTGCATTCTTATCATGGTCATCTTTATTCAATTCATGTAATATCTTCAGTGCATAGAGGTGAAACTTATATCTTCTGAGATATTTCTTGACGGTCATATACTGCTGGAGATTATTTACCAGAGAAGCAACATGATGTCACACCATGGGCTTCCTTATCCAAAAGTCACTGAAAATGATTCCATTCTATACAAATATTGACTGACTTTAGTTCCTTGCCCCGTACAGAAGTTAAAAAGTAGGGGGGCTATTTGCGTAATAGTAGGAAAGTTGGAAAATGAATTTTGAGCCTTCAATCATCCAGATAATGAATAAAATGTAATTTGAATAAGAACCGAATGTTTCACAATGTAAAACTACTAACTAATTGTTGTATCTTCGGCATTGCAGGTCAACAAATGGCTTGCTGAACAGAACGCAGCACTGGCGGAACAACCAATGAATGCGGATTATTTGTCGCCAAGGAGGAGAAGGCCTAGGGTAGATCCCACTCTTTTGGACTGGAAAAAGCTGACGGGAGAAGAAAATGTAGCCGTGATTCATAGGGCGACTGGAAAGAAACTCACAGGGCCAAAAGCTCCGACCCTGAAAAGGTTGGGCCAGTGGCTGATGGAGAACCCCATGTACGATATTGATCCTAAGTGGTCTGAGCTTGTTAAGGAGCGCGGAAATTTGAGTCATGATCTGCAGAAAACGAGGCTTCCAGGTTAGTGGCACAATTTATTGAATATACAAGAAGTTTTTATAAAATAGTATCCTTATCAGACGAAACTCTGAAAGGAGTTCGATTTTTAATTATGGGAAAGTATTGATAATTGGAAGTCAATTCCGTCAGTTGTATCGCCAACAGCATATGCAGGAAAAACTTCCGTGAAGAATCCTGCACTGACACCTGTCGGATATAATCCAACGTCCTTCGTGGTATTAGCCAAAGGAGTAGTTGTTTTCTGATGGGTGTCAGTCCATTAATCACCAACAGTGTAGGTCGTCAGATACAGGAATCGTCCCTGACATATAGAAACATAACTACGTTCGTCCAGGTTTTTAAATCAGTAAATAAACAAGACATACAGAACTACCGTGATATATGTAACCAGGCTTCCTACTTAAACAACTGGATAACTTAATAACTGATCAGTTGAAACTAACTCAACTTTTAATATTCAAATAATAATTTCTACAAATTGACAATGAAAAACACAAAAAAAGTTTGGCCTACTCACTGGTAGATGTCGCTATCTGTACTAAATAGGTAATTTCGTTATAATTTCAACAAAAAGACTACTAACAAAAAATAATGTTACCGTAGTGTATAAGATTGGTAACTCCTTGGATATACATATGAAGAACAACCAGGCAAACATGGACAAAGATAAAAAATCGGGGGGCTACAAACTAACATGTGGATTGTACCCAAAAAATTTTAAACCGAGAATAGCCGAATATAAAAGTAGTTATGAAGCCAAATATAAAAGTAGTTATGAGCTAAAGAAAACTAATTCCACCTCAGCTTGTCACCTTTTCGAAAATAACCACGATTTCAACATGGACTACGATATACTATTTGCTCCAATGCACACCTACATTCCTACTAAAATTCTGAAACCAAAGCCAAAATTTCCATGTTGTTATAGCCCAGAAATCCTGTAAACAGTCGAGTAGTCATGAGGATTATATTAATTTTTCAAATCTACGAAATAAGTGTAAATTGCTTACCAAGGAGTGCTACCACCTCTATTTATCCGAAATAGAAGAAAACTTAGCAGCTGATAGTAAGTCCTTTTGGCGTTTCGCTAATGAAAAATCAAGAAACAATTTCCCAAATGAAATGTACTTGCATAATAAAATAAGTAGGAGTGGTTCTGAAACTGCTAATTTATTTGCTGAACAGTTATCATTGAACACTTATCATCTGTATACGTTAAATCAGATAATTATTTTTCGGATGTAAGGTATCATTGTAATGTTAATGTCAATAAGTGTAAAGTATCATTGAGCGAAGTGTTTGATAAGACCAATCTTCAAAAAAGGTTGTATTGAGGATATCTCAAATTATAGGGGTATTTGTTTAAAGTCTTGTTTGCCTAAAATGCTGGACTCTTTTGTCACAGATTATCTATCATGGGAGTGTAAAAGTTTAGTTATTGATCAGCAGCATGGATTTAGCAAAGGGAGATCCACAGTCACCAGCTTACAAACTTTTCAAAATACAATCTTAAATGATTTTGAGAGGGGGTGTTAGGTTCACTCTATATACACAGATTTATCGAAGGCATTTGATAGAGTAACTCATGAACTATTAATTACTAAACTGAAGGCATATGGCATAACTGGCAATCTACTGAACTGGCTCCATAGCTTCTTAACGGGTAGCTATCAATGGGTTAAAATTGGCAATTACACGTCAGATAGTATTGAAGTTCATTCTGGGGTTCCCCAGGGAAGTCACTGTGGCCCTCTACTTTTCAACCTATTTGTCAATGACATTGCCCTAAGTATTGAATATTCTAAAATTCTACTATTTGCTGACGATTTAAAAATATATATAGTTATTGAAAATGAAATTAATTGTCATCAACTTCAGAGTGATATCAATAACCTTGTTTATTGGTGCAATTCCAATGGAATGGATCTGAACCTCAATAAATGCTTCTTTATAAATAACAATAGAAATCATACTTTCATAGACTTTTCATACTCAATCAATTCATTAGACCTAGAACGGGTAGGTGCACCATCACACTGATACCACACAACATTTCTTACTTGAAGGGGCATATTATCTAAAACTTCAGATAGTTCAGTATTCACAAAGTGTAGATAGTCCGCAGAATTTAAATTATGTCTAAAAAAGTATGGTCCNCTCTGTAATCGTTCATTTTTTATGGTTATTTTTTATATTTTCCAGGTCAATCAAGCAGTAGCGGAAGCAGTAAAAGCAAAAGTGGTGGGTCTTCAGGTCGGCCACCACTACTGTCGAGTCCCACTGGTTCTACATCCAGTGTCAGTTCGGCCAACCTAACAACATCCATGCCTTCGAGTATGTCTTTCCCTTCGCTGAATAGCTCGAGTTTGGCAGGTTTGAATTCGAATCTCCTCACGGGTTTGTCTGGTCTTGGACAATTTGACCCCAAAACAAATCCGTTACTCATGCCTTTTGCGGGTTTACCCAATATGGGTGCTCTAGGTTCAATGGGTGGTTTAGGTAATCTCAGTAATATGAATCTGTTTGCCAATTTAGCTGGCCTCGGTATACCAGGTTTAGGAGGAATGGATCCATCTGCTTTGGCGGGTACACCTTCTGATGTGACTAAGAGTATGTCGAAACCCAGTACAAGTACTAGCAAACCAAGTAAACCTCAAGAAGCCCATAGCGCTAGTAAAAGCCAAAGTAGTTCTAATATACCGACGACTAACCCGTTTCCATTTTTCTTTCCGAATCCGAGTTTATTGTACACCCCATTGGGTTTAGGAGGTTTGAATCCATTTACTTTGCAGCCTGGAATGTCAGCAGCTTATGATTCACTGGCACAGCAGTGCGGATTATTGAATGGAGGAATGAATCCTTCACCATCACCAAATAGCAGTTCGAAAATAGGAAAGTCGACATCCAGGTCACCATCTGCGGCAAGTATGTCATCTTCAAGCCAAAGTAAGCCTCCAAGATCATCTAGTCGCGATACGCATCTACAACAGCTGCTCCTTCCTCCTGACACTCAGATTTTGGAGAGTATTTCGAAAGCTGCCAGTAGCTTGGATATTTCGTTGAAACAAAGCAAGAGTGATAAGAAGGAGGACAAGCGTAAGGCTTTAGAAAATTTGAGGGGCATGCTTCCCACAGATTTTTCAGGTTCGATGAAGGAAAAAAAGACTGGTTTACCAGGCCTAGCGGATTTCACGAAATTGCTCGAGGCCCAAGTCATTCAGACTGCTGGTAAAAAGTCTCAAGAGCAACAGATGAAGGATGCCATTGAGCAGTTGACCCGAACCAATGCAGATCTCATGGCCAAAGCTATGGTAGAGGAACAGAACAAATTTATGTCTGCTCATAAGAGACCTAGAGAGTCAACGGAGGGCTCCGATAAAATGATGCATTCAGAAGATGAATTTCTACAACAACCTGCCAAGACAATGAGGGAGTCTATCGATAAATCTCGAACACCAACACCTGTATCTTTGACACCAATACCCATGGTAACTACTCCAACTCCTACTCCTAATCCAGCGGCACCTCCTGTGATAAACGAGCAGGAGGGGGTGGATATTGAAACGTTACTTCCGCCATCTACTGTTTTAAGGTCCACAGGTATTACCCCTGAGAAAGCGGACGCAAAAGAGAAATCTCCTGAACCAGAGATGGAAATGTCCTTGGAAACTGAGAATGAAGCAACTGAAGACAAGGTAAGGTAAATCAATATTATTTTAACGTTATTACTTGAATTGTTATTTATTATAATATAAAGACCCCTCTGAATCAGGTTATAATCGATGAGCAACATGGTTTTTGCCAGGGCAAATCGACCTCTCAGTATATCTTGAATGCTTTGGAGAAAAAACAGCAAGTGAATGTGATATACACAGATTTTTCCAAAGCATTTGACACAGTTAATCACAGGATTCTCTGTGCAAAATTGGAGGCAATCGGTTTCTTTGGGAATTTAAAACAAATTGCACTTACATGGAACACTGTCATCCTCACTGGTATACATCGATGTTTCGCCTTAAGACACTTGCCCCAAGGCTCTTCAGTACCAAATAGGATAACATAGAAAATACATTCATTCATTCATGAATTACGACTTTTAATGTCATGGAATAAGCTTGATCTGCTTATGTCATCGATGACATCGTAATGATATGCTACCCTGAATTTAGCTGCCTCTGAAAAGTGAGACTGTGATGCAGAAAGAAGTAAAGAAATCGAGGTCCGCTCTTATAATTCGTGGTAGAAAGGAATGAAGATGCTGATTTGTTCTACAAAGTGGTTGAGAAAATGTATTTGTAGTAAATTTAGAGAGGTTGAGGGACAATGAACAATTCCATGACAGAATGTAGTTGTGAAGAGTAACATATGTAGTTCTCAGGAATCTTAGGAATCCTTTCTGAACTTGTTCTACTATATGAATGTGGCTTGCATATGATGGGTTCCATACAGAAGATACTTATTTGAGATGAGATTTTACTAGAGAGCAGTACAGAATTTTTGAGTATTTGATATCAGTGAAATCTGAGGTGCATCTTTTTAAGAAGCCTAACATTATGAGAGATTGGCTGACATGTGGGGCTGAAATGAAAATGAGCTGTCTAGGGGTAAGCCCAAGTCTTATTTCTGTAACATTACTGGGTGGAACTTGATATATACAATACAAGAACATTAAGGGGATACATTTAAGGCTAAAAATTATGGAATGGAATCTACGTGTATTAAGTTCCATTATTAAAACACCAACTGGATAGTTGGTTCAGCTTGCTTTGGAGTTCTACACAATTGTCCGATGAATTGATTTTCTTGTAAACTTTCAAATCATCTGCGAAGCCTAAAAATTCTGCATCAGAAAAGCAGTACTGAATTTCGTCCATAAAAACCTTGAACAAAAATGGTTCCAAATGGGATCCTTGGGGAACACCGAATGGTACTAAACTTCCAGAAGATTCAAATCCCTTAACTCGAGTTATATGTCTCTGATTAGCGAGATTTGTATCCAAGATAAGAGGTTTCCGCAAATTCTCATGTGTTTAAGTTTTTGTAATAAACGAGTATGGTTGACTTTGTCAAACGCCTTGGAAAAATTTGTGNATGTATGCTAGGTTGACTATTTTTAAAAGCCTAATACAACCTCATTTTGATTATTGTACTACATTACTTTTTCTACTTGGTAAAAATAAAATAGCGCAATTGCAAAAGCTTCAAAATCGGGGCATGCGATTAATATTGGGATGTAGCCGTTACTCAGCAATTAAATCGATGTTACAGTGTCTAAACTGGTTTTCAGTTGAAGAACGTATATTATATATGACTATGATCTTTATATTTAAGCTGCATAAAGGATTGCTACCCAATTACTTTCAAAAATTCTTATTGAGAAATAATGAAGTTCATGATTACAATACGAGAAGAAATAACAATTTTTACATTAATAAAACTAACACTAAATTTGGAATGAATAGTATATTTCATAAAGGCTTAAACGAATTTAATAAACTACCACAATTTGTAAAAGAATCTAATTCAATAAACCAATTTAAGTCATCATTAAAGAAGTATATTAGTGACAGCTCATTATGATATTTGTAATTTTTTATTTTTTAATGTAAACTAACTTAACAATCTATAGATATGTATGTATATTTGGTTTTCCTTGAAAGGTACTTTAAAATGTTATTATATTTACATAGTTAATGTCGTGAGATATTTATGAATTTGTAATTTTTCTTTTTTTGTATATTAGGCTTGCCTACTTAATAAATAAATAAATATTAAATGGACTGACGCCTATCAGAAAACAACTACTCCCCAGGCTAATACCACGAAGGGCGTTAGATTATATCCGACAGGCGTCAGTGCACAGGAATCTTCACAGAAAATTTCCTGCATATGCAATTGGCAATACAACTGAAACAGTCGACCTTCAATTTTGGAACGGGCACACTTGCAGACCAGTTTTGGGCTCATTAGCCACTCATCAGTGCAAGACAGTGACCATCATCAACCTAAAGTCAATGATATTCCATAATTGAAAATCGGAATTCTTTCAGAGTATTTCATTCCTCTTCCTAAGTTTTAGCGAAACAACAAAATGTCACTCCATCTAGTGGACGAGGTACTAACCAACTGCATATCCGTAATTTGCCCGATTCCTCTGAATAAGGAAGAAGAACTTTCTTATTAGTCAGTGGGCTATTCTTGAAGACTGGCAGTAAGCAAATCTGAAGAAATGGACTGACGCCTATGTTACATCATCGACGCCTGACGATAGGCGACAGTTCATTCAACCTACTGTGTAGGTATATTCGAGACTGGCTTGAACGTTTAAAGTTCATTTCTTTAGATTTGTCTACTGCCAGTCTTCAAGCATAGCCCACTAACTAATAAGAAAGCTAGTTTTTATCGAAATGCAGCAAATACTCAAAATTCAAAAAAGAACCACAAGGACAAGTTGCAAACTCATCTTCCAAAATCTCAGAATATTGACTGCTACAAGTATATACATTTTTTTTTGCTGCATCAACTGCTAGGTTATTAATCGCGGACTTGTTGTTTTTCAAATTTCATCTGTTATATTTGCATCTTTCAAAAATGCCATCATGTTGCTCAACGTTCGTCTATCATCACATAGAATTTTTTTCATTGCCCCAGTTATATTATGTTGTCTCCTGGTTCTTCATATTTTGGACATTCTACAAGTATATGTTGTATCGTTAGTACTGTTTGGCATGTAAAAGAGTTATCTGTATCAATTAAATCATATGATTACAGGTTCAATTTAAGTAAGAAACGAAAACGACACATCGCTATAGATGTGGAAACCGAGAGAGCCAAGTTGCATGCATTGCTGAATAGCAGTCACATGACGGCTCCCATGCCCAAACATAACATGTCGTGGGAGAATGATGATTCTGAAGATTCGAGAAGATCCACGCCTGTACAGGGTAATCTTCAACCTCCTCCCGCTCATCAACAGGCCTCTAGGGTGAGCATGGCGAACATGAAGATGAATTATGAAATGCCTTACCATCCGGTTCCTGCTAAAACAATTGGACAAACCACAGTCATTCCTGGTACTAGCAGTACCTTAACTCCAATCGACTTGAGTTCAAGGTTAGTTTTTTATTTTCTTATGACTCCTTATACAGGGTGTAACAAAAAGCTTGGTCATAAATTGAACCATATATTCTGTGGTCTAAAATAACACGATTGGATATAACTTACCTCAATGCAAATATGCACACAATCGGTTTTTCCCAATATATCATGAACTGTTTAACATTTTGAAACTAACAAAACTGTTCAGCCCAAAAACATTTTAGGGGGGCATTGGACTCCTAAAACCCCCCAAACCTTTTTATGCATTACAAATAAATTAGTATTACAACACCATTGGTTTAATTCGGTCTGTCTATTTAATACATTATTTTTGAAATGTTTTTGCCAATTATGGGATATCAGGGATTGTTTTCGATTGGATTCAAAGTTACTAATTCAACAGAAGACAAAAAAATAAATTTGTAAAAGAATTGTCAGATGAACTTATAATTGAGAGTGGCATACCCCAGGGTAGTGTGTTAGGTCCATTGCTTTTTATTATTTACCTAAATGATCCTTCTAGGAAACAGCCTGTTAATTTCTACTCTGAGCTCTTTTTTCAGTACCTTAGGAGCATTTTCATCATCAGAAATCTCTATTATATCTTGAACGTCACTAATTTTGGCTCTCGGTACTGTTTTATCCGGCACTGGTTTCTGTTTTTGAGGGGTGTTCTGCACCCACTTTGCTATAAAACTTGTCTTCTTTTTCAACTCAACTTCTTTTTCGAGTTTATTGTTAATGTCGACATTCTCGTCTTTGCTCATTAAGTCTAAGCAACCACTTACATCCATTGGATTTTCCTCAATATCACTCTCATCTTTAACATAAGGTTCACCCAATTCTCCAGGTTCAAACGTTATAAGAGCACAAAACCCATCAGTGGAAGATGCAATTAAGAGTAGCCCATCTTTGGACCATGTTAAATCANAGTACTGTTTGGCATGTAGTACATAGAGGTTGTTGTTCTCCTAGGAGCAAGTAAAGGTGTGTTATTTTTGTATGGCCGATTCGCAGACGCGTGAGAACAACTTGTTCTTTCCTGGTCAATTTCAGTGGTGAGATTCGCTTATTCACACTTGGTTTCGAGCATTTCAGTTTCGCATCAGTTTCATTCCAAAGAGTCTGCCAGTCAGATATTTCTTTGGATTTATTAAAATTCTTCAGATCTTCTAAGTGGAGTGGTACATCTTCATATTCGTTAGAGTTAGCAATCATTCTAGCTGCCTTATCCACATCCTCGTTGTTCTTTATGCCACAATGACTAGGCACCCACATGAAGCTGACAGTTCTACCGCTTTCCTTCATAATATGAATTCTGGCAAGAATAATCCTTACAAGGGGTCAAGAGTAAATTTATTTTGGAATGATCTTATGGAACTTAATGAGTCTGTACAAATTAGGAAATGAGTTTCGTTACGTGCGAATTCACAGATTATTAAAGACTGGTATATAGCGTATAATTCTGCTGTGTAAACGCTGGTTGTTGAGTGCATCGAGCAGCTATGGAGGTGTCCATCTACAAGGAATGCACAGCCCACCCCATACTCGGTCTTTGATACATCAGTATATATTTTGCAGTAGTTTGGAAATTTACTAATGTTATTGTAATAGTTCAGTATATACATTTATGAGATATTAAAATATGTAAAATGACATATAACCAGTTTTCTTACTCTTGATGGTAATGAGAATTATAATACTAGAAATTCCCTACAGTTAGAAGTGCTAACTAACAGATTAGTTCTATCTGAATCAAGTCCCAGGCTTATGGCCATTGAATTGTACAATAAACTTCCAAATACTTATATACAATCAACTTATTTTTGACCCTGGAATGCGGTTCAATTTATGACCTACCTTTTAGTTACACCCTGTATGTCATAGAGTGTCATACTAATATATAAAGTATGCTATAAAGATTTGAATAGAAGCTTTTTAGGGGAATTACAAAAAATGGTACCGCACTCCCTCATTATTATTTATTTTTTAGCATTCCAAAGACTTCCGAAAAATCTCCAAATGTAGATCTGCAGAATGAAGTTCAAGATTTCTCTGTGAAGAAACCTTCCACCCCTTCACCTGTAACCAAGACTGGCAATAAATTGGACGATACATTGTCCAAGTTAATGAAGAGGAAAAACTGTGTATGTTTTTGCTTCATTTTTTTTTCTCTCCCTAACTTCAATACATATTGAAATTGTTTTCTTCCTTTCTTCGGAAGATTTCTACTTATCACGTATTTTGATCAGCTTGGCTAGTTCTATACCAAATCATGATCTGGAATCTTTTCAAATTTTAATTCTTTTGGCATGAGAAGAATCATCAAAAATTCGTAGAGGATGTATATTTTTGAAAATAAATTCAGTGAACTTTCCAACATATTGAAAACTAACATGAATCTTCAGTACATTTTATTCACTTTTTTTTAGGCTGTCGAGGAACAGTCGGCCTCCATAGAGGAACCTGGCAAAAGCGAGACTCCAGAAGAAACTGAAACACCTCCAAAGAAAAATACCAAACGGGCAAGAGGCAAACGTAAATCTGGAGAAGTACCAATAGATCACGAATCCGTAATTGCCAAGAAAAACTTACGTTCAAGTGCTAGTCGGTCTGCCGCAGCGGCTGCTGCCAGACAAAAGTTGGAAGCGGAAAATGCTCAACGGGAAAGTGAGAACAGCGCTTCGTAACTCGATCTGTACGAATAATGCTGGCAAACAAAATGAAGTTGCAGGTTCTGCACTTATTGTGCTGCTTCGATTGTTGGACAGGGATGATTCTGTGGGTATTTGGTGAACTGTGATACAACTCTTATAAAACATTAAAAGTGATGTGGTGTATATTGTGAGGGAACTTGACTTTAATATACGCTTGAAACACATGTATTCCCACAATTTTATTAACATATTAGGGTATAGTTACTGAAATCTAGTAGGCTTAATAAGAATCATAGGCGGCTTTGGCGCGTTAGGGCAATTGTTTCTTCACCATCGGCCCATCGATGTTTCACATTCTTGTGTACCTTACAGAGGTTCGCCTGCGTACTGCCAAGGCCGTCTCTGAAGAGAATGATCACTATTGAGTAACAATCTTAGGAATTGTGTGCTTGGCGAATCATTCTAGTACTTTACCGAGGAAATCTAGTTTTCAAAAGTTGTTCATCGATTTCCACTTATAATTATCACCTTTTGCAGTGTTTAGATTTCCGTACCGGCCTGCCATGAGAGTTGCCCTTTCTTGAATTCCTGATAAAATGAAAGTCTTGAAATTCATTTCATTCTTACATACGTTGAAGATTTTTATTTGGCAAATGAGTTAAAGCTATCTCCATTCGGATTTGAAGGCCGTCGTAGTAGACTGATGTCTACTACGAGTCTTCAGAGGTTTTTGATGAATCACCAATGACTGTCATTGGTGAATCATCAAGATGAATAAACCTCTGAAGAAGGCCACTCGTGCTGGCGAAACGTCAAGATGCAGTTCAAACCCGAATGAAAATATTAACACTGATATTAAAAATCATTTCAAAATTTTTTTGAACGAAAACGCCACACGAAAATTTGTGGCGAGTTTCAATTTACTTTTTTTTTTTTGAATCCCCCACATTCTTGAGAAAATTGAGTTTTTGTTCAACAAATTAACCACAACGGAGAGTTTTTGTCTTTCCTCTTGGCCGTTCATAAACTCATATTCTACGAAAGGGATACAATTATGGAAATTCCATTGTTTATGTAAATTTTGTTTCTACTAGGATAGGTAAGTTGAGAATTTTGATTTGGACTCATCGATACTGATGAATGTTCTCTTGTTCAGAACGAAGGACTTCATTTTCTACAATTTGTGTGTATATATTTATATAAATATATGTTAGGCATTATAACAAGGTCTTATTTAATTGCGGTGTGAAGAATGTAAATAAATTGTAGCATTTTTATTATTTTTCAATCAATATTCATCATTTTCATTGGTAAATTAGTAATCAATATTTATTTTAGTTCTTGACGATGTTCAGNTATCCAAACATTTTCCGCACAAGGACTGTTGATGAATGATACAATGTAAGACTAATGGTTTTGAACCACCATCATTTTCTACAGCCTTTGACACAAGTGCAACCACTCCTTTATTTTTACCATACATATTTTAGATCCTGTTTTTTACAATGCCAACCCATACATTTACCTTTTGCGGGTATTGTGTATAATGCTCACGCATCCAGTGGTTGTTTTCTTTGGCCCAGTACCTACAATTCTGACGGTTGATCCCACCATTTAATGTAAAAATGGTTCCATCAGAAAAAATTATATTTTTTACGAGGAGACGGTCTCGGTGACAGTTATCCCTCATGGCTTCACAACATTCTATTCTTCTATCTGGATCATCCTCTTTTAATTCCTGTAGAAGTTCGATTTTAAAGGGATGCCATTTTTCCAATTTTAATACTTTGTGTACAGTTGTTTTACTGACATCGAAATCACTACTAACCTTACGAACAGCTTCTTCAAAAGCAAGTACAACATCTAGTTTTGTATCATCATTTACAGAAGGACGACCTGATTTGCGTGCATTTTCAACAGTACCACTTTCTCGAAATTTCTTTTCAATCTTACTTACTGCTGACTGTGTTATGATGTAGAAATGCCCGGTTGGTTATTCGGAGGTACACACGTAGAATTACAGCACATATGCAAAAAGTCATCTTTTGGTGGCTGATGATCTCTTTCAAGACAGTGAAATACTCGCAGTACAATTTGTTTTTCTCTTACTGACCGAGACTCCGACCGTTTTACCTTTTTCGACGTGGAAGGCCCGACCATGTCTCCCATTTTTTGAGTAGTTTGAGAACGGTGTAGAAATATAATTATGTAACGCTTAAACACTTATTAGCACTATTATTTTCACCAATTGTTATCACAACACGTCGATTGCTAACTAACTTAACTGTAAAACGTACAATTCACGCTGTATAATTCACAAACCAATGATACGCTCATGGCTGCAAGTACATTAGTGAGGACTGCAACGATGAGATGGAAGTTACGGTAAAGTGACAAAGACAGAAATATCGTTGCGTACAGCGTTGCCACTAGTTGTAATAAATATCTAACACTATACAGAAAATAATGAATTTTAACTGATCAGTAATCAGGAAATGTATAAGTATTACTCATTACAAGCTCATTACTGATTTTTGTCATAAATAATACCACCTTTTAATCGTACTAGTATTGTGTATTATCTATAATTTGCCACAACCTACAACTCTACTGCTTACTATATTTTGATTCTGCTATAAACTGGTAACGTAAAATTTAGATATGACAAGGCGCTTTACTCTCAATCATTATTGGTTTTACTATAGTCTGTGAGCACTGAGCAAACATAATGAGGTTGGTAGTTAGTGTTACAAAAGGTACCTACCTAACTCGGTATACATTAAAATTATGCTATTTAACCAAGAGTTTTCAGGAGATAATTAGTTTTGAGAATCCATCGTGAGAGAAACAGTAGAAAATTCAGCAATATTTAAGGCACTTGAAATTAAAATTAAAACAATGCTCGAACAGGACAAGCGATGTGTGATATCTATAGATGAGATGGATTTAAAATCCATTTTTTTTTGAAACAGGATGTGATGAAATTATTGGTTTCGAATATATTGGAGAGGCAAATAAGGGGAATTCCATATGTAGAAATGTTCTCGTTATTATGGCTAGAGGACTTTATTCTCCCTGGAAACAACCGATTGCTTTTTTTTCATTCAATCACAGCTACCAGCAAAAAATCTACGTGATATTTTGGATAAGTGAATTTCTAAATTATCCAATATAGGTCTGCATGTTGATGGCATTGTGAGTGACATGGGCTCTAACTTTTATGAATTGTCAAAGTTATTAAGGGTCACTTTAGAAGAATCTGAATTTGAGCTCGGTGGTAAAAAAAATGTTTATATTTTTGATCCAAGTCATTTGATAAAAGCCACTAGAAACAATTTTTTAAAACATTCATTTCATTTTGAAGGCAAAAGTACATCTTGGTCTTTTGTGCGCTCTTTTTATGAGCAAGACATAGGGCAATTTTATAGAATCGCACCAAATCTTACCAAATCACATATCAATCCAAATAATTTTGAAAAAATGAAAGTGAGTCTAGCAACACAAGTTCTAAGCCGTACAGTTGCCAGTGGAATGAATGCATTCGTGGCAATGAACTTACTTCCTGCTTCTTCTTTTGGTACAATACACGTAATAGAGACGTTCAATAACCTTTTTGATTTGTTGAATTCGTGTTCTTTACGACATCCCTATAAATGCAAAAACGTTTTAGAAGGTTCGAAATTCCAATTAGATTTTTTTGAAGAGGCTCTAACGTTTTTGAAAAATCTTGAAATTTTCAATTCAGAGGACAGAAATGTCACAAATCGAGTCAGATTCAGATAATGTTGGATTATTTCCATGGATAGTGTAATTAAAATATGGGATAAGTTTTCCAAATCAAATTATAAATATTTAAAAACGAGACGACTCAATTCAGATTGTCTTGAAAATTGTTTTGGTTCTGTGAGACAACAATGCGGAAATAATGTTAATCCGACCCCCATACAATTTCAACGGGCATTCCGGAAGTTGTTTTTCAAAAAATATTTTCATTCCAATCATATGAATTGTAAGAATGATTTAGATGATTTAATAATCAGTATACAATCCACAAACGTAAATGATATATTTATATCAGATGAGAATTACTTTTCTCCAGCCCTTGCCCTTCCGGATTATGATTATAAAAATGAAGATGTATGTACTCAGAATTCATTCATTTACGTTTGTGGATACATTTTAAAAAAAAGCTCTTCAAGTTCATACATGTTATGTGTGACACTCTTTCAGCACGAAGTGCAGCACTATGGATGTAAATCGTCTGTTAAGCTATTTTAAAGCTTATACTACCGAGAAAAACATGTTTGGAAATTTGCGCTCACCACCAGATGGTTGAATGTTTATTTAACAATCGATTTACATAAGTTTCTACTTAATCGATTGTTCCTGTAAAAAGGAAACTTAAGATTTTGTCACATTTTTAAATTAAAAGGTTTTGGTGAAATATCTTGTTTCATTATTTTTTCATTCGGAACCTTAATTAGAACCATCAGATTGTATTGATGTTGTTAATGACAGTTTAAGTTAAGATTACATAAAATAACAAAAGTCACTTCTATTCATTTCATCTTTAGTGGACTTATTTATTTCAGAGGATATAAAATGATTATATAATATAAGCATTATTCTATTATCTTAACTTTATTTTAATTTTCTATCTAATGAATTGGATTTACAAAATAAAGTAACTTAATTTATTTCTTAAAAGCCAATTCATCATAAATAATAATAAATTGTCAACACAGTTGAATATTCTCTATTATTACTGCGAGAGTTGTTCAATTAGCAATATAAAAATTGAATGGAGTAAGATGCTCTTCACACTATAATTTTATATTTCATAGTGAGCCCACGTACTATACTAAAATGTAAGAGTATGTATTTTTATTAGTGTATGTCGCTGAGAGGTCATTTTTCTCAGTGAACCAGGTTGTTTATCACTCAAAACCTTCGGTTCGGAGTTGGGACACCGAACATCAATGGATCCAACGTTAATGTCGCTTCTCTGTAGTAGGTATCCTCGGGCATTGATAAGTCCGCCATTTTGGGAAGTGCCGGACTGTCTCATTCTGCTTTTGGCTTTGCTGTTGTTAGGACGTATATGTTACCTGTGTTCGGTGCGTATCGTGAATTTTAACATTTAACATAATGGGTGGACACGTTTGTGCTGTGAATAGTTGTAAAAGTAAAAGTTCAAAATCCAAAATAAGTTTTTTCATGTTTCCG